TGTAAAATATTCAATTCATTAAAATTATTTAAGAGGGAATATCAGTTTCATCTACAGACTGTTTTTTGCAATTAATATGGAACATTTTCGCTTTGAATAAAAATCAGTTGTTTAGCTATCGATTTCTCGAGTTTCGTTTATAACTTATTCATATAGTGATTGTTAAGCAAACAATTAAAATTATTATTAATAGTTTCGCATAAATAAACACTGTCCACACATCGTTAAACTATATTCTATTAAATTACATTATATAAATACTTTATATTCAAAGTAATACTTGATACTTCTGCATTCAATTTATCATTTCTACTTTCAGACATTGCGAATTTGACTTCACTTCGAAACTCAATTTTTAGAACTTCAACGAGGATCGCCAATGATAGGCGAAAAAAAGCAAAAATAGTATTGAACCCCGTAATTTCCGAATAATTCAAAACCATAATTCGAATCGACCATAAGCAGGTCTTTTTCTTCACGTTTGCCAAGAAACAATCTAATCGCCGAGAGCTATCGCGAGCTGAGCATCGCCTAGACAAAGGAATAGAGCTCCGATTGACAGCCAATAAGCTCACCCTAGCAGTCTATTAGCCTCATCACCTGTCACGCGTGTCTTCGTTATTGGCCGAAACGGACACGTACAGAGATCGAATTGCATGGCAAAGAGAGCGATCACAACTGCCAACGTGTCAAAGGTGTACTATGTATACACTATGTACCCGCTGTTGTAAAGCCGACTTGCCATCTGTGCACACTGATCACTAAGCTGAGGCTATTGTATATGCAAAATAAAAATTCTGCAACTTAGTTGTAAGAAACCAAAAATAATCGTATCTCCTCGGCCGAAATTGTCCATTTTTGTGTACAAGCTGAAAGAAAATTAGGGAGAATTTACTGTATTTTTCTACTGTCCACTGAAATGCGAAATGATTTCAAGATTTCAAGATTTCGAGATTTGATTGAAGAATCGCATGCATTTTAAAATTAATAGTGACAAAAATTAGCTTCATGAAAATGGGGAAAACGTTAATAGAATTTACCAACATCGAGATAATTCTTTCAATTTGTTAACATTAAGAGACGACGTGAATTTTCGATTTACTTCCAGCTTTCTACAATTCGACTGTGGATCTTCGTGCAAAATAAAAATGTTCTGTACCTGTCGCTAGAAACACGAGTCATTTAGAAACCTTTTTCTTACTATACTATTATCATAATGAGTCGAAAGTAATGTGTCGATACTCTCCGATTTTTTTCATTCATCCTCCTCTTTAATGTTTCAGCTAATCATTTTTCTCGCGAACGCATGAAATCTGCAGTTTAGTTACCAGTAAAAAATTTGTTCGTCATTCATAGTTACCGATTGCGGATTTCTATGCAAAATAAAACAAATCTGTTCTACAAAAAAAAGAACGGTTAGGAATTTCTTGCTTTCGCGTCTCACTTAATAACGACACGAGACATCTTTGATTCAGTTTATTTAGGAGAGTACATGTGTGTAAATGCAACGATAAAGAGAGATAGTCATATATGTTTCAAATCAACATGTGCATATGGATTGAAAGTGATTGAAGCGACACTATCGGACAGATCTTTCCGGTAGACCTAACATATAATTTTAGTTGTTATACATATTTTCCCGCTTTTTGTATGGAAACCGACTGTGTGTCGCATCGATTGCCTCCCAGCACGGTACAGGAGGAACAGTTTGCGGAATAAGATAAAGGAATCCGGATTCCGGTACCTCGATATTAGCCGACGTAAATGGAGACAAGCGGAGCCGCTTATACCGGAAAAATGGATCAGCGACGAGTGTGCTCGCGCTTGTCGTTCAGCGACAAACACAGAAGCTCGCCGAGATACGTGGCTCCGGAACGGAGTCAAAGGGGCCGCGAGGGGCGGACCGGGCGGACGGGCCAAGGGAAATGACGAGGAAACGAGTGAGGAAACGGGAAAGCGGTCGAGAAGATTGCGGGAAAAGGAGCGCGACTCGAAAGAGGATGACTCGAGGAGGGAAACGGCCCGACCTGAATATCTCCGGCGAACTTTTCCATGAATACGCCATGCGGCGGGGGTCAGAGGGCACACGAAACACTGCGGTTACCCCCGAGGATCGGAAACCGGAAGGGAAATGAGAAAAGCTCGACTGTGACGAGAGGTCGCCTCCGAATCCGCGGATACAAGAATCGGCTTCGAACTTCATTCTGCTGAAATGCAACGACACTTTCGTGTTTAGATATGAAGACCTGTCTTTGTCGATCGTGGTCGAAACGGACTTGCAGGCAAAATTTTCCGTTTTTCGAATTGTTTCGAATAGATATTTACGTGAGACAATTATCCGAATGAATTCTGTCGTAAATTATTTCATTTATTAATTTGAATAATTCTTTATTCGTCATGAATTATTCTCACAATTCTTTATTCATCATAAATTGTTTCATTTATTCGAATAATTCTCCATTCGTCATAAGTTATTCTATATATTCGAATAAATTATACGCACAATTGTTTATCCGTCATAAATTATTCTATTTATACGAATAACTCTCTTGATTCGAATATATTATTCGCATAATATATTTAATTTAATATGATAATTAATATATAGTCTCCTAATATTTATTTTAATAGTTCTCCTAATTTATTATGGAATAATTATGTATTCTAGGTAACAATTAAAATTGGTGACCCGCGAAGCCCAAAGTACCGCATAAGAAAATATTAAAAAATAGTATCGGTTATTGTAACAAGTAAATAATAAAAAAAACTTTCCCCTAAAGAGAATATAAAATGATTCGCAGAAGTTTCTTAATTGAAGATTTGCAAGTTCTTTGGTGATCCAGGCAGAAGAAAAATGCTCTTCTTTGTGTCTTTTACGAAGAATATTTTTTTTAAATCCTTCGAACTATGAGAATGATTGACAATTATTTTTAATCGAAGAGAATACAATTTTCATCGAATGGTAGAAATTCATTCAGAGAAAGAAAAACGGATTTTCACGCATTTTAATCTCATTGGGTAGGAAATATCGCAGTAATAGGTACATTTACTCTAAATTCGTCGAGCAATTTCGCAGAGCAGCATCGTTACAGTCCCAATAACCGTAAAGATAAACACCGGTCCGCATAAGCCGTTTCGATGCTAAGGCCGACTATTTTTTCCTCGTCCATCTTCGCTGCGAAACGATAAATTATCGAGGACAAAAATAATTTCACCACGGCCGGTACACCTTTCCTGCGGAAACTGAGTTGTAGCGGCGACAAAAACTGTGCGTATATAATTTTCGGGCTACTTTCCTTTTAAACTCTACCGGTAATTGCATTATCGCGGAAAAGGAAGAACGAGTACGTCGAATTCCGGCGGGAGGAGGATGTCCGCGATCGCGATTTTTTCGCGATCGCCGGTTCATATTTATTCATGAGGCGGTCAGGATTAAGATTACAACGGGGACCGGCCGTAAAACGGCCGAACAGTGGCCGTACACCTTTGCATCGGCCGCGTCCGATGTCCGCCGCGTATTTTTTCAACGGCGCGAGCTTTGAGCATACGTCAAAGTGAATTACGCGACGTAACTGAAAATTATGCGAGCGACACTGTGAACCTCCGCGTTCAACGTTCTATCCGGCGAACAAGCCGCGAAACAAAAACTCGCCGCGCCGGCCGGAAATTACGCGACGCGTCCGACCGAAAGCCCGCAAATTCTTTCGCGTTGACATTTTAATAACCGGTGATTCCATTTTTAGTTCGAAGATAAACTTCCCGTAAAACGGTGGCATTTGCGAACGGACACGTCGGCCGCGATGGCCGGCGGGATCTTTTGCGGGTGCCGCGCGGATGGCAAGAATAATTTCGGAATTTTATCGCCGCGAGGAAATTATTTAGGATGGCACTTTGATGCTACCTTCTGAGTGGCTGTGTTTTAGCCGGAAATGAAAAATTTACGCCGCGGGCGAAGCGCGTGCTTCTCGCATGAGAATCTTGCGTTTTAGAATGCCGCGGGGAGGCAGGTTTTGTTCAAGTTTAGGTTGTAGAGACATATTTCCGTTTCGTTGATACAAGACAATCTTGAAGAAATATTTCTCGTTTTCTGGACAGTCCATTTATTGAAGATGTTTTGATTTTTCTAAAATAGTCCGATTTATTGAAAATATTTTGATTTCTCTAAAACAATGCAATTTATTGAATGTATTTTTATTTTTCGGAAACAGTCCAATTTATTGAAAATAATATCATTTCTTTGAAATAGCCGAATGAGTTAGAAATATTTCGATCTCTTTAAAATAGGCTAAGTTTAGAAACATTTCGATTTCTTTGGACTAGTACAATGAAGCCGTTACTTGTAATAGATTCTACAAATAACATTTTTGAAAAATGTAAACCGTGAGATGTTCATTTTTCATTTTTGAAGAAAGTTATAATACTCAGAAATAAAAATCTACAATAAAAGTTAAATAATTACTCGCAATCCGAAAGTAGGGGATTCCTGAGGTAATTTGAAGCAACTTTTTCCTTAGCGAAAATGCAATCCGCGGCTTCGTTTACGAATTATTAACGAAAAACAGTGACCAATCAGAGGCGAGCTGGGCTCCGTGCACTCGTTGGCTGGGCCGCCGCGCGCCAGCCGAGCTTGCGTCTTATTGGTCAGTCTTTTTCGTTAATAACTCGCAAACGAAGCCTCGGAGAAAATTTTCGCAAAGGAAAAAGTTGCTTCAAATGACCTCAGGAACCTTCCATTTCCTGATTGCGAGACATTTTCGGGACACCCTGTATATACACACAATTTATACAAAATCACCGAACTAACATTCAATCGACAATTGACCGTAGAATGATCGAGAGGTAGAAGAATGCACTGAACGCGGCATTTCGTACAAAGAAATTCGTTCTCACGGAGCCGTCGCGTCTAGGCTATAGCGGCGCAGACAGCGAGTCCGCGACAAAAGGCGGAGGAAGACAACAGACAGGTCAGCCACGGCGAACATACATATGTAAAAGCATACCATTTAACACATGGACGGAAACCGTGGTGGCTGGCGCGACATCCGTCAGTTCGCAGCTATAGTTCCCGCTGTCCTTTTTGTTCGCGTTCGCTATGTAGAGCCTGGACACCGCGCCGTTGGTGCCCATGTCCGTCTTCACGCTGAAACAGAAAGCAGAGGGTCTCCGTGTAGCAGCCCTAAGGATCGTTCCCCGAGAAACGGAAAGCAGACGTTCACCGTCTCGGTGACTGGGTTTCTTCTTCCTGCGTTGCCGACGTAAGGGGGGGGAGGGGGTCCAGAAATCCTCGGAAAACACGGAAGACGACACTGAAGGAGTTTGCTTTGAATCGTCCCCGGCAAAAAGCGAAGACGGGCAAAAAGGGGAGGGGCGGGACGCGGAACGAACGGAAGGACTCTGAAGGATCGAGCCCGATGAAAAATGGACGCTCGGGAAACTGTTATTCTCGCCGTGAGTCGTTGACCTACTCCGCCGTCCCGGAGAAATCAAAGACTAATGCAGTTTGATATTCAGTGTCTGCCTGCCGGTCTCTCGATATTCGATGGATCCTGTTTTGTTTGGCCGGCTCCCGAGGACCATTCAATTCGCGGATCAATCGGAGCAAGATATCGACGCTTTCGGTACCGAACATATTCTCATTTATTTATTTATACGGTGATTCGAATTAACCGAATCGAAGTTTAGTGGGTGGCAGTTTACTTAAAAAGATATATGCCTTGGAAACGACAGCGATTTTATTCATAATTCAATCAATTATTTGGAGTAATATTATGTAGCAATTTCTATTGAAACTGTTTTTTTTTTTTAAAGAAAAGTATTGAGCTTCTTTCTTACCTACATCACTGTTATTGAGAAAGCTATTAACCTTTTAGGCCCGTTCTTTTGTATTCACATCGATTTACAACAGTCTGCAGGGTGTCCCAAAAATGTCTCGCAATCCGGAAATGGCGGGTTCCTCGGATCATTTGAAGCAACTTCTTCCTTTACAAAAATGTTCTCCGAGGCACCGTTAACGAGTTATTAACGAAAAACAGTGACCAATAAGAATCGAGTACGGCTGACGCGAGGCGGCCCAGCCAACCAGCGCGTGAAGCCCAGTTCCGCTCATTGGCTCGATCGCCTCGCGCCAGCCGAGCTCGCCTCTCATTGGTCACTGTTTTTCGTTAATAACTCGTTAGCGGTAGCTCGGAGAAAATTTTTGTAAAGGAAAAAGTTGCTTCAAATGGCCCGAGGAACTCGCCACTTTCGGATTGCGAGACATTTTTGGAACACCCTGTATATACACACAGAATATACAGTATCAGACTCTGTACAGTACATATCAGACTCTGTCGTCCAGAGAAATAGCCTCGCGCAGAATTCAGCCGTACCTAAAAGGTTAATAGGCTTAGATATTATCGTAACAAATTTGTACATCCCTGAACACATTTCTAACATTTATTAGTAGTTATAATTTTTTTTAATCTAATGTAAGTTTTTGTATTAAATACATCAAACGATCAATAAATGCTTAATCAAAAGAATAAATATCCATAACACCTGCAAGACATCTTAGATATCTGAGTATAATACTAAATAAATGTTAATATGAGAAGGGTGTGAGAAATGTTAATCAAAACCAAAGCATTTTATTTAACCCTTATAGCTATAGCTTTATGGATATAGCTTTGTTTGTCACAGAATTTAACGAAGAATATATGTATAATGATAATTTAAATTTAACAAAGAATAGCTCTAATCTACGTAAACTTAATTAAATTCGAAACAATGCTTCTTCCATCATGAGGAACGCGAATTACGTCAATTTTCTTTTGAAACTCGGATGAAAACAGGCTTAATGTATGTGTAATAATAATGCATATGTATACTGTGACATATACTAATATTACATACATTTCTGTGTACCTATATGAGATATTTATGCGTTGAGTATGAAAGAAAGATTCAAACGTTGAAACTGAGCACCACTGAAGCAACCTTCTTCCTCGATCTTAACAAATTTGAAAACACCTATTGTATACAGTGGTCCACAAAAGTGTTCGTCCATCTTTTAAAACGCAATAACTATTTTAAAACTGAACTAAATGACATGAATTTTTTTAGATGATAGGGGGACTAGTCTACTAGACGATGACTGAAATGCTTTTTTCTTTTCATTCCAAGTAATAGCAAAATTAAAAAAAAAGCTTTTCAATCATCGTCTTTCGAGTCATTTAGGTCTGTTTTGAAAAAGTTATCGCGTTTCGAAAGGTGTACGAACACTTTTATGAACCTCCGTACATACGAGTACCACAAAAGTTAACCGTTTAATTTTGACAAGTAATTCCGTCGCTAAGATATGCCGTCACCATAGTCGATCGCGAAAAGAAAGTCGATTACTGTATCGAGCCCAGCTCGCCGAGTTTCCGAGCCGTTTCCGATCGGCAGGGTTCGACGAGAATGGGGTAGCAAGAGGTTGAAGAAAGTGTAAATCAAGTTGCACCCTCCGCGAGACGTCTGCTGCTGACAGATCGACCGTCCTTCGTCCGTAAAAGACGCGGAATGGAAGGTCGTGCAGCATATTACGCGTCCTTAATACACCCTTACGGTCTACTTGTCCTGAAGCAACGTGAAACAGTTTCATTCGATTTACGAGACGCGCCTCCTGGCAAAGACGGAAACGAATTTACGAGTGTGTCTCGTATGCCGATTCGACCGTACCTAGAATTTCTTTACGCGTCCGCGGTGATATTGAATTACAGACGGATACGACCCTTCACCCTATCACGGAATCTATTTCCAGTGTGGGTTAAGGGAAGGTGTTTTTTTATTGGGGTCGCGTAGCCAATCTCTCGGACCGGATCATTACCGGTGGATGCTGGCCGTCGATCCTGTCGCGCCGTTTTCTACGGAGTTGATGACTGTCAATATGTGAGCCGTTTATTTTGAAAATGGCATAAGTCACTTTGTTTTTAAGTCGAGATATTTAAGGGTTTGCGCTTCAACACGTTTAAAAATATGGATGCTAACTTTCGAGAAGATTTACTTGTATTTGTTATCTCAGGATATTGATATTTTTCTCAGTATAAATAATTTCGTATAAACATTAAAAAATCGCCACTTTTCATTACGGTAAAGTGACTTGAGCCACTTTCAAAATAAATAGTTTAGAAAAATCACTGACATATATTCATTTTGTCCGACGTATTTTACCGAAGCGATGTTTTGAAAGGACAGTGATTTACTAAAATTGTTGAATAAATTACATATATAATAATAATTTATATCATGAACATATTTAATATAAAGGTTTGATTTAAGTATTTTTTATTGTAGTATTCATAAAATACAAAAATAATTAGTACATTTTGAAACATAAGTATAAGTAATTTATATGAAAATACATCGGTTCAATTTAATTTTCGTCATCGATAGGAGTGATTAAGTCCTCGGAAATCGTGTTCTGTTTCAAATTTTTTAAATAACTGTGGTATATCGGGGGTATATAATTAAGCAAGTTCGTCATGTCTTTGTATTTTGCTGAAGAAACAGGAC